CCGTGGGCAGGCTCACTGAGTGAAGGTTACGATAAATCCACGGTGTCGATGTGGTCGGCGATCGACTTGAACAACGTGTTTCGAAGGAGAGGACACCGAGTGCTCTTTGCCTATTCCGAGCCGTTAGCTCCGGTCGTTAGATCTGTAGTCGCAAGAGTGGTAGTGAGAGTGTAATGACCCTGGGAACGTTGCGCTTGGAACAACAGTATTCCCGAGGTCTCGTGCTGAACAGAGTCCGTGATGATGAGTCGCGGTGGGCAGCCCTCAGCGGGATAGTGAATCACAATCAGTCCGCAACTCTTCAAGCCCGTTAGACTTGGTACTGCCGTGACTACATTGTGGTACATATTACTTCGGAGCGGCTGTGAGTAACGGGATAATTCCAGTCGTTTCGTTTTGTTTTGACTGCGATCAAGCGAGCATTCTTCCCGGAGAGTGGGTTTCCCTCGAACGGGTGGGTCGCCGTCAGTAGGTTCCCGCAATCACCGATTAAATGTCGCGACAGATACGAATCGGGAAAGTTCCCCGAAATCGGGTGACCAATCAAGCGGCCTCCGTTCGATCGACATCCTTTATTCAGGGATACCGTTGGATTTGAGAGAACCGAACGGGCTGACGCGACGGATTATTCTCTATAATAATAGTCGATCCGAAAGTCATTGGTCGTCTGGGGGTTCTCCCGAAAGATTCCACTGAGCGTGGATTAGTGCCAGGAGAGGGTCGAGTGAAGTCCCGGTTCGAGGCCAGAGGAGCCTTCGAGCCAAGACGGGGAAACGTTGCGAGCCTGCCTCTACATCCACGGTCCCCCCGGCCGCAATCGTATTCCGTATCGTAACGGAACATGACAAAAAAATGTGACCCTTCCAGGTCGTCGAGAGTCAATCGTGAAGGTTCAACTTGCCGCAGACCACACGCTGTTCGCGTTCCGTTTGGCTTCTGATTGTTGCAAGTGTTATTGCGACTACTTCCGTTGCCGGCTGGTATCGTAGCGAAGGTATCGAGAATTAGACGCAATCCGAATCGGGTTTCGTATGCGTCCGGTCCCCGGAGCCGGGGAAGCCTCTGCCGAAGGGTCGCTGAGCTGTCAACATGGATTAAGAGAATATCCGAAGTTATGCATGTCGCCCCCGTGCGGAATCGACAATGAATTGAATTGAGCGTCGGAAAACAGATGCGTAAGGTTTCGCCGCCAGTGCAGTCCTCGCATCCCTGGAAAGTGGCTCTTCTGGCTGCGGGATTCCGTGGAGTATTGAGAGCTGTAGGAGTCGCGACTAGAGATGCGTTCTCAATTGTCGGTCCCATTCACTCGCGGAACAGATTCCGTTCCGCGCATCCTACAGCACTCACTCCAAGATCACTCTTTATTGCAAGCGGCTAGATATTTTTTCAGTTTGATATTTTTCCGTGGTCCGGTTCATGGATTACCGATGGGAGACGCGTTTCTCTTGACGTCGACGTCGTCAATCGTATCTTGAGCGGAATGGAAACCGCTAGGACGGCTGCCTACCACATCGGAGCGATGGATCAGCAAGTAACCTTGTCGGAGTTTCTGTCGCGTACATATAACGAGTGAGAGCGTAAATGAGCGACTGTCGGGCAGAACGGTCGGATCTTAGTCTAGATAGATGAATGAGGGCTTTAAAATCGATATTTTCGCGTGTCGCCACAGAGTGAGCATTACAAGTCGAGTGGGAGATCGTGGCAACCCTCCGCGTGATCGCCCTGCCACCGCTCATTGGCAGCGGCACCGCGCCCAGAAATCGCCATAAAACAGCATAGCCTTCCTCCAGCATCTTTGTCCGACGCCCACAAAGTCAAGATAGTCTTTTTCTTCGTGCGCTCTGACTTTTTATCCGACGTTGGACCATCCGTCCGAAAGTGCTCGCTGGCTTGGGCGGTCAGAAGGATAAATATCGCCATTGAGCATCAATGTGATATGTCTGCATGAAGACATTTACGAGAAAGTTATCCACATCGATAGCACAATTCAGAGGTCGCTCCGCGTGCCAGCGCGTGGAACATGGGTCTCTATTTCATCGCCTGCTTTGGGCCCCGCCTCGGATCCTCGATCGAATCGCAGTACCCAAAGGAAAAGTGAGGTTTGCGTCGTCCGCTAGCCTCTTTTGTTCCCCCGTTTGTCCCCAATCGCTACTCACTGCAAGGCTTCCCCTGCGAAGCGATTCAGACATTGATTGACCGAGCGAGTAGCGTACATGTCCAATCTGTTTTTTGACAGCTTCGACATGCCGTGCATTCGCCAGCAACGCCTTCGTCGGCTGTCCGAGACTATGAAATAGCGTACACGCGAGTAAGAGGGACAAGTAAGCCCTGCCCGCGCTGGATCATGCAAGAAGTCTCTTGTCGTCGTAGTCGAGGGAACCAGAATTTGAGAAATACGTCGCTGACCCTGATTGAGCGACCGGCTCGGCTTGCGCTTCCTGGTTGCTCATCATCACGGATCGACATACTCTCGATTCAATTGTTGTTGTGGCTTTCGCCGTAGTCGATGGAGCGAATAGACAGAAGGAAGTGGGTCAGTCAGTGCAAGTGACAGCGCACGCCTTCGTTGCACTACTTGCATCGCGTCCGATTGCCGATCGGTCGATGGTCGTCGTCGAAGCAACGACGCGACGCCGAAGCTCACTGTCGGTTTCAGAGACCGCGTGCGATCAGGCGCAATGAGCATTTTTGGAGAATTCGGAGAGTCCTGTTCGGACTTCATTCGGGATGAATCTCGAATGCCTCGAGCTAATATTCCCGTGAACTTCCAACTTTCATGAGGAAGAACGTTCTCAAGCTCCTCCGAGAAGCGGGGTCGTTCCCTCGGAGCCCATCGTTCTAGAGCAGCGTTTCTCAAACTAGGGGGACGCGTCTCCTGGGGGAGACGCGGGAGGAATCTGGGGGAGACGCTCAGGGTTCCGAGAATTCCCGACCGACCTGATTTCAAGTTTCTGAAAGCTTACCAAGCTCATTGCTACTGTACTCAAAGCTTATAATCATTGTACAATTGAAGGATGAAGCCGTATGTACGGATAAAACGGCACTGTGGCATGTCTCGGTCGAAACTCTATATTCTCAGATATTCGATGACCCTCGGGGGAGACGCGAGCGCTCCCCAAGGGGCAGAAGGGAGACGTAGGGGAAAAAAGTTTGAGAATCGCTGTTCTAGAGAGAGGGCAGAGAGCGCTGCGTGCGGCGTTTGCTTATCGCTGGAGACGGCGCACGAGATGAGATATTTACCGGGAGGAGTTCCTCGGAAGATCCCTTGGCGGAACATCGAGATCATTCGCGAGAATTTCGGGAGGATTGCACTCACTCTCTCTACGTAGAGGAGAACTCGCTTCCGGGAAGCGATTCCAATCGTAGTCCGAGCCTGACGGCATCCCCCGGGCTGGGTCCCTAGCCTAGCTATGTTGCTCATTGGGATAGTCCTTCGGGGGAATTTACCTGCGAGAATCGCGTGGAAATCTGCTCTTCCATCGCAGATTTCTGCGCGAAGACGGATGGATGAATATCCTGTGCCTGCGAAAATGCTCGGGAAGCCACGGAGTCCGGCTTAGCGGTCTCTAATGGGAGCGGCTTCCTGGCCTCGCAGGAGGGCTTATCCTCCTGCCAACATTCTCAGAGATGAGAGAGGTCTCATAGAGCACTTCCCGCAGCACAAGAATTATCTTACGCAAAATTAGATGTTGAATTCGTTTCTCCTTATCATGGCTCGCGGAATTCCGTCCGCCGTGAGAGCTATCGGTGTGCCCGACATCGGAGCAATCGTCAAAGATATGGTGCGTTGAGCCTACCCCCGCTCATTGAGGGAAAACTCCGTGGTCTGCGACGGTTTACTTTAGGCGTGAAGAGGTTCATTGCAGGCCGAAGGGATAAGGGATGATCTCATCGAGGTCGATCCGCCGGGCTTCTGTCCGAAAACAAGCCCGATGCCAGCGTCCGGGGCACTCGGTCCCGTTATACAGAGAAAGGCACGGATAACGCGCTTCCAGGGAGTACGGAGGAGAATTCCGAGAATCAACGGAGTTCCCTGGAAAGCGTTCCCCGGTCGAACAGCTGATTTCAACAGTCAGCTTGAGATGCGGCGCCAGCAGCGGCCGCCTGCCCTCCACCTTTCCCTTCCGACGACGATCGATGCATTTTCCTGGCTGCCCTGACGTCACACGTACAAGAGATGTCTATTGGACAAGAGCTCGCCCTTAGATCAGCGCCAAAAACATTAGCTAGGGAGGACCGCTCCCTTTAGGGAGTAAGTCCCTAGACGCTCCCGTACTTCCGGGGGAGATATGGTCCCGGAAAGCCCCATAATTATCTGTGGGGATCGATCCGAATATTCCGAGCTCATGAGAATTCCATCACAGTGAGTATCTCGTCGATAAATTGCCTCCGAAGTTGGCCTCTGAGCGATCGAGGGATTTTTCGTCTGCTAGAGCGTTCGCATCTAGGGATGTGCTAGGGCGAAAGTACGACGGGTCCTCTCCCGCAGCGCCGTTAGCTCAGGGTAAGCGGTGCGAAGGAAAAGCAGGGCGAAGAGCGTGCGGTCGCTAGTCTTCTGGCGACAGAGCTCTGGTGTGGACCTGTACATTAATAGACAGAACGATGTCGTCGTCGTCGTCGTCGTCTTCTACAGCCTCAACGTCAGTTACAAGTGGATATAATACGAAGCGCTAGCGTGTAGAGCCTCGGATCTCGGAGGCTACAGAATAGTCGTGTCTGAAACATCAACAACGGCGACCGACCGACGTCGACGCTCCCATAGGATTATATTCTCTGCAGTTTAGTGTGTGATTGTGATTACTTCTCTCGTGTGGATTTCAATCTGTGAACTATCGAAGCCATCGGATGAGGTCGTTGAGTGTACAAACAAACTGCATCAAAACCATCCGCGAAGCCCTCACTTATCATCGTCCGAGCAGCTTCAGCTAGGGCTGCTTTTTGGGGTAGAGTGAAGCGAGGACCAAACATTTGGCCCTTGATTCGGTTGCTGATCGATGCCCATGAGCAACACACGATTGCAACTGATATTGCCCGACCCGAGTCCGCGCCCCCGCAAGGATCTCTCGGATTTCCCAAGCAGCCTCGGTCTAAACCATCAACAGCAGCAGTTGCAGCAGCAGCAACAACCACTACAAGCACAGCAGCATCAGCTGCAACAGCAGCAATTGTTCCAAAGTTCGGATTATTCGCCTTGTAAACTACAACAATTTATCGGCGGTGACGGCGGCGGTAAAATGGGACACGAGGAAATCGTCGACAAGGCTCGACTCCCAATGATCAAGTCGAGCCAATCGGACGATGCTGCGGCCGATAACAAGAACCAACAGAGCTCGCCCAGAATACTGGTTGCGACTCCGGAGCAGGTGATGAAAATGTACATGCACAAGCTCACAGTGTATGAGCATATCGAGATTTTCAACTATGCCCAAATCTACTTCATCGGAGCCAACGCCAAAAAGCGTCAGCCCACAGCGAGCTTGGGTCAAAACTGCGGCTACGACGATGAGCAGGGCTCGTACGTGCACGTAACGCACGACCATATCGCCTACCGTTACGAAATGCTCAAAGTCATCGGAAAAGGCAGCTTCGGACAGGTTGTCAAGGCGTTCGATCACAAAACCCATACCCATGTAGCTTTAAAAATGGTTCGAAACGAGCGTCGCTTCCATCGGCAGGCGCAGGAAGAAATCAAAATTCTCGATCATCTCCGGAAGCAGGATAAGGATAACACGATGAACATCATTCACATGTACGAGCACTTCACGTTCAGGAACCACATGTGTATAACGTTCGAGCTGCTCTCAATCAATTTGTATGAACTCATCAAGAAGAACAAGTTCGGCGGATTCTCGTTGCAATTGGTTCGCAAGTTCGCGCACTCGTTGCTACAGTGTCTCGACGCCTTGCATCGTAATAGAATAATTCATTGTGATCTGAAGCCGGAGAACATTCTGCTGAAGCAACAGGGCCGATCCGGTATAAAAGTCATCGACTTCGGCTCTTCCTGTTACGAGCACCAGCGGGTCTACACATACATCCAGTCAAGATTCTACAGAGCTCCCGAAGTTATCCTTGGATCCAAGTACGGAATGCCAATCGACATGTGGAGCCTAGGATGCATTCTGGCCGAGCTTCACACCGGCTATCCCTTACTGCCGGGCGAAGACGAAGGCGACCAGCTGGCGTGTACGATGGAACTCCTCGGGAAGCCGCCGCAGAAGCTCCTCGACCTATCGAAAAGAGCCAAGAACTTCTACTCTCAGAAAGGCTGCCCTCGCTACTGCACCGTGACGCCACTGCCAAATGGGGACTACCTGTTGGGTGGTGGAAGATCGCGAAGAGGAAAACTCCGAGGTCCACCTGGAAGCCTCAAAATGACGACCGCCTTGAAAGGCAGTGACGACCCCTTGTTCATTGATTTCATTAAACGCTGCCTCGAATGGGACCCCGCGGTCCGAATGACGCCCAGTGCGGCATTGAGACACGCGTGGCTTAGGCGGAAGCTGCCTCGAACGCCGCAAACGCAAACCAGTAATTCTACGTCTGCTAGCGTGACGGGTAGCAACGTTGTTTCGGCTTCTACTACGACCTCGGGTACGATCGTTCCTGGTGGAGGTGGCGGTGGACTAGGACTTCATCGAGCGGATGACCAAGGAACAGTTCGCTATAAAAGTACCTCGAACGGCATTCCCCCGATCGTAATCTCGGCGGGGGAAACCCAAGTTCCCAAAGCTCCCGTCCTGAGATAGGACGTCGCCCTTCAGTCACTGTGATAGATTAATCAATTAACGTCGGAGTCGACATGTCATCGAGATGGATGTAGAGCATTGAATTTGAGGGGAAGTCAGACGAACACGGACAGACAGCCAGCCAGACGGACGGACGGAAAAACAGACAGACCGGCTGTTGGGCGGGCGGGCGAGCGAGCGGACAGACGGAAGCTTGAACGGACGACCGGGACAGGAGTTCAGCAACCTCGAGACTGGCAGCAAGTGAAACTTCACCAGCAAATCTCGAAATCGATTTTTACGTGAACATGGAAGCCAATTGAATCAAGAGCATGTATCGATCAGCTGAGGAAGCGTGAATCGGCGTTATCCACAGTCCTCAACAACAGCAACAACAACTAGATGGAACTGGTAGTCTAGGTAGAACACGCACAGCCAGCGTCTCAGATTATTTCGAAACAGTGCACCACAGTAGCAGCGGAGGCAATTGCGGAACATGAGACCGTCGCCATCAATAGCAGCATCTGCGGCAACGAGACATTTAGAGTGGAAATCTGTGAGCGTGCTTGAGTGTGTTTTTTCGGGCGATCCGTGAGTGCGTGCGTGCCTGCCTGCCTAGCGACCCGGAGTCGTATGGACGATCGGTCGGTCAGATGAATGGACGGACAGACAGACGGTCGTTCGCTCGGATTACTTGAGGCGAAGGAAGACGGACAGACCGGCATCACAAGAAAACTAGATTGTCGTCACCGTTCCGTCATCGACAGAGAAATGAACACAAACAGCCAGTGAGTGAGCGGCTGAGCGAGTTTTCTTGCCGACCAGCTCATAGGCTCGCGAGCAACGAAGCGACCAAGCGCCAGCTGAAAAGCTCCTCTATGGCCAACCGATATGAAAGACGACCGATCCGAAATCAAGCAGGGTTCTAGTTAACTTGTTCTCCAACTTTACTGGAAGGGAACAGGCAAAACTATGGCACATTGGACATACATAGTAGTCCTGCGGTCGATTCCCCGGCCCGAACTGAGCGAGCGAGTGAACGAGTGAGTTAGCCGGCCGGCACGCGTTTATCGATGAGCCTCAGGACGCGTCTTTTCAGACTCATCCACGTGGTGATCATTTTGTCGATACGAGCCGCGGACTTCTCACTCTAAAATCAGCCGGCGACGGGATACGCTCGGGGAAAAGACGCAGTGATTTTTACGTTATTGTCCGATGTGTAGCGGCAAGTTTCGTCTGCAAAGGGCGTCACAATCTTTTCGAGTGCTGACATTGGTCGTGGATTCTTCGAATTATCTGCATTTCGATTGGCTTTTCTCCGACTTCGGCTTTCGTGTTCCGTTCTCTATCGATCGACCGCTGATTCGAAGGAGGAACGAACGATCGGGATTTCGTCTCCGCTCCCGCTGGTCCAAGCGGGAATCTGTCTGGAAAACGGACGAGAGACAGAATTCTCCGAACGATCGAGCCCGACAGGCTCGCGAGGAGATACATACTGCCCAAACCGTTTCAACTAGCTTTGATTTGTACACATTTTTATTGTTATAATTCCAATCCATGGTTTCCTCTCTCCCTTATTGCTGACACGATTGGTATTTTTTTCGTCTTAAGAATTATGTGATTGTTGCCGCTTCTCCGACGCGGCTCTGACGCAGCTCGATGAAAGCAAGATATCAATTTAATATTAAAATCAATACATGGATATTGCTCGATTCGCCGGGGACAACCCCCGATCGACCGAATTGAAACGAATGTTTTTTCTTTTCCTTTCTCTCAATCCGAGAAACCGAAATCTCGCTCATCAGGGCTGCCGGAGCCTTCATTTGGAGGACGTCGTCGGTCGATGCTTGGTATCGCGTGACAGGGCTGCCTGGGATTTATGATGATTTTTGGGAAACCTTCGATTCGGTTCGAAGAGAGAAGCAAGAAGGAGACGAGGGCACACAATGACGGAGGGCATCGGTCACTAAACGGAGACATTCCCATGACGGATGTGGCCGCCCGGTTGACCGAACGTCTCCCGAGCTGACCCGTCTCTTGACAGCTGTCTCCCCTCCTATCCCGATATTGTTAATTTTTTGATTGAATTCAGCTCTCTCAGCGGAGGAAGACCCGAGCCGTGGGAACTGACCCGAGCAAGTCACTTCCAGAGAGTCGCGATCTTATTTGGCGTAAAACGGCCCCTGTCGTCGATCCCTCGCCGGTCGAGAGTCTTGCCTCGCTTGATTCATTCAGTCGGTAGGCAACATCTATCGTTGATATGCCGGACGAGCGGGATGGTATTTTTTTTCTACAGATCGCAAGGATATCGTGTCGTGCTCCGAACGGGTCCTGGAGCTGATGCTCTCGGAGCGCAAAGATTGTCTGTTGGATGTAATCTAAATTCAGAGATAATGTAATCAGACTCGAGAATCTAGGAGAGATATATTTCCAATGAACATAGGGTTTTAGAACAGAACTAAGACAATTGAGAGAGTCAGAGCACGTGAATCGAACACTTCGGTAGAACCAATTGAATACTGGGGCGCAAATGACGAAGCAACACATAAGGCGAGGCGGTAGGCCCACTACCTGAACCTTCAGTTTTCAATCCACGAATGCTTTTCATATGGAATGAGGTTGTATAAAAGCGATGTAAATACATATGTATTTGGGGAGTTCTGTGAATCGATTGAGTTCCCTTGAAGGGAGCCAGCTAGAGGTGAACCGCTGAATGAATATTATACGGAGGCGAGCTCCAAGGCGTCGGCTGAGTCACCGGTCGCACATCTTTGGTTTTGCGGTTCGTGAGCGCGAGTGTTCACCGCACGTTTTCGGGCCGACCAGCGGAGGATGTCGCAAGAAAAACCTTCAAGAAGAGAGCGTCGATCAGACGACTCACCCTCATCGCACGCTATCGAGCTTATCTCTTTGATGTGAGACAACCACTCCCGCCACCGGTCTCACGCTGGGGATTCTCTCTTGTCGCTAGCTTTTCGGGTCTAGCGTCAAGACGGTTATGCGGAGTGCCGGGCTTATTCTCAGTGATCGCTTGCTCCTAATGGGTTGGTGCCATGAATGTTAGGTTACCAGGGTCATTGACTTTCTTCCGAAATCAGCTGAATGGCTAGACGATCTCGGATCAGTCGTACACTTGATTGATACCTCGAGTCTGTCAGTGAGGCAAGCCGCAGCCCGTTCACGGTAAGCGCATTGGCTGAGTAGCCGGAGATTTTGACGAAAACGGATGATTGACTGTCGATGGAAATCGGCACCGTCGATCCGATCGAGTGAGTTCCCGCGGATATCAGGAGCGGGATTTGGATGAACGAGCCGGCATTTCTCGCCGACTGCTCGATGGAGGCACGAGACCCGTTGAGGGTTATCGAAACAATTCTTGAGAATAGAAACCTCCGGCTGTACAGCCAATAGGAAGTTCGGTACTCGGAGCCATTCGAAGCTAGACGACATCGCGACCGAGTTGAACGTACGAGAGATGAGCTCGAAAGTGTACAAAGGGTTCTGTTTTCAAGAGGGATGCTACCCGCTCGGTCGGTGTGGACTACTGCCGCTACTTAAGACCACCGTGACCACTTGTGAATTCGACAAAGGAATGGAGTGGATATGTTGGATGTGAGGGTGCATGGTTAGATTCCGAGACGATCGCGTCTCATGAGCTCGAGGAGACTTATAAATGAGCTGTTCGTACGTGAAGATGATCGGTGTTCGAATTACACCGGGTTTTCAAGCTTGAGGTAGTGAAGTTATTGTAAGCGTACCGTTGTAGAAAAGAACAATGATGAAATGCAGAGAAAGAGTCGAAATAGCTTCCTCTGTGTCGTCGCGAGAGGAATAGGCTTCAAATCTCAACGGTGTCTCCGATGATTATATTTAATGTATATCCGTTACCAAGTCCGATCGCGGACCCGGCCCGTGTTGTGAAGACGCTGCCGCCGGCCTCTGTCTCGGCTGCTGGATGTCAGAAATGCAGAACAAGATTTTTGCCAGGAACGAGCATGACAAGCCTCGTCTCACGAAGCCAGGACAACCTACCGAATCTCCATAATCTTCCGCAACCATCGTGAGGTGAATTGATAGGACATCGTCGACTACGACATCGACTGTTATTCATGTCAACAACAATAACACTAACAACAAGAAGATCAACATCAACAAGAGACGACACAATAAACTCTCGCTGTATAAAGCTGAAAAGTAGCAACGTCCCTTTTTCTCTCGGCTTCAGCTACGTCTCCTAGGAATAGGCGCCGTTCATCGATTTTCCGCCGCGGACCACTAATTAGAGAGCAATTTTATTGCTCATTGCACAAATTCCGCAGCGAGATAGATTTTTTTTCAGTTTGGAGCTAGCCCTGGCAGTTATGGATTCCGATTCCGGAGTAGAGACTATTTAAAAGCTGCTGGGAAACTTCCTCTCCGGCTGGAAGAACCGGACATGAGCGAATCGGGTTATGGTTCGGTTTCTCTCAGCAATCTCTTCATATGATGTGAGAGGTAGATGCCAATATGGTGGCGGCGTCGTCGTTTCGTCGCCGTTTCATTGAACCTGCGCCAAGAAGTTCTTTCTTCAGACAGTCAAGGCAAGAAAGAAGCAGAAGCAACCACAGCACCACCATCAGCAGCAGCAGCAGCCGCGAAAAGCGGCTAGCCATGGTGGATTCGTTCATGCAGCCTCCCGCTCGCTGGCTCGTTCTTTCGTTCGCTTGCTTGCTCGCTCGCTCGCTCGCTAGTCAAGCAGGCAGGAGGCAGGCAGGCAGGCGGACAGGCAAGCGAGCAGGCAGCTTGATGATGCTGAAGTTGCTGCTGCCTTCTCTGGATCGGAATCACAAGGGGCCGAAACGGGAGGAGCAGCATACGACGACGAAGAAAAGACGAAGAGAATAGTGGGATCTGGTGGTGGCGGCGGTTAGGGCGCTCCGGAGCATGAGTCGAGCTCGCTGTCGGACAGCAAAGGAAAGAAGGTAGAAACGGAGTGGGGAGAAAGAAAACAAAATCTAAGCCATTGGGGTACTCCGAACCGA